TCTTTCTTCAGTTGTTTTGTTGCTACTTGAAATCCAGCCATATATTCATTTGATCGCGCGATATTCTGTACTTTTTTGAATTGACAACCGTGTTCATTATTTTATCTTCCTATTCCTTGTTTTTCCGAACATCTGAACATTTTTGTTTATTATTATATGTTTATTTTTCAGTTAAAAGTCGAGAACTCATCTCAACGTCTGAGTCTAGTAGTGAGTAAGTATTTTGCTACTTTCAGAATGAATAATCACTCATTTAATTGGCTAAATAATGTCCTTAGAGCGAGCGAAGCACCTGCATTGAAGGACACATCTGGTAATGAAAGCAAAGAATCTAATCACCTCCGGGAAGAGAGTAATGGATCCAAAAATTTAGAGGTACGCCTGTGCATACAGCACGAAATATTTTTTACGTTTCTTTCAGGTAAGTGCCTCGACCAGTGAGTCTGAAGCTCCGAGCAACGAAACGAAAAGAGTCAAACGGCGAAAAATTGTGGTATGTACTATTTGCTTATCTATTTTTTAACCATGTCTTATTTTGATGTTTTGGCTTCATACACAAATGCCATTCTCAGCATATTCACAACAATTAGTATTATAGTGAAATGATGACAACGGAGTGCATTGCAAGACCTCTGAACGGCGTATTTCTCATGCAAATTTTATTTAACATAGTTCTGACGTTCCGGATTGTGTCTGAATACCTTCAGGAACATTATGTCGAGATTTGCAAAAACCAAGAAATAACAACTGATTTTTATATAGGCGGGGACGGGGTTGTACTTTTAGACTAGAGTTGAATCTGAGTTCAAAGTAAGGAATATCGGACTATTGGTTTTCAAGCAGAACAGATATTACCTCAGTTGTTGTAATCGTTGCTTATGACATATTTATGCAGAAACGGAAGCCAAGATTGTCTTTTTCATGAGTTATTTGCATGCTATAAATACGCTGCGGTCTAAAAGTAAAAAGGAAACGTTGTTAAATTTCTACTTTCTGAAACATAAAGACTGACTTGGTTGATCTAGAAATGTTCAAGTGAATAGCCTTTGAATAGGGTTGAAACATTTATCAAGAATGCAGCGTTAACATGACCTTGAGTATTTATCACTATATTGCCATTTTTGATGTATTTATATGATACTGTTTACTGTGTGATTTTTTAGGAAAGCGATACATCTTCTAATATGTCTGCTGACGAGAAAGAAGGAAAAGACGCTAGCGACCATTCAGACTTTTATCAGCAGTCAGAAAAGTCTGATCAAAAATCGACCGTCAAATCGTCCACTGATGAATCAAGTCCGAAAGGTTCAAACGCTGCTGAAAATGACTCTGACTCAGACTGATTAGTGAAACAGCGCTGTTGTTGCAGGGATCTCAGCTTAAGTGCTGAAAAAATTATTTATATCTTGAAAACGGGCCTTGGTTTTGTAGTTTTTGTTTTTTCGTTATAAATATTTCTGTTTAGGCCGCTTTGCTGCCTTTTATTTTTCTAACTTGCTGGAAGCTTATGAAGTTATTTTATTCTCTAAAGTTATTGTAGAATTTGTGTCCATGCTTAAATGCTGCTGTAGAACACAAACGGAACAAAATTCGAAATTATACCATTTGAGAGTTGTGTCAGACTTTAGGCCAAATCGTTCGAATAAAATGAACAGTTGGCGCTTATATTCGACTAAGCTAGATCGGGTGAGCACTGCAGTAGTTGCATTGAGCTGATGCGCGGACGTGTTATCACAGTCTGAAGGAAAAGCGAATAGCAGACTTGAAATCGAGTGATTGTTTAAATTCCAGTATTTGTACTTCTCCAGCATGCAATATTGCGATTTTAGCGCACGCGTTTAAGGTTGCTCCAGTAAGTTTGGATAAAAGGAAAGCAAAACAGTTGTGAAGCAGTTAACTTTCTTCAATCAGATAATAGTAGCGTCTTAATCGAACAAATAGTGCAGATGTGATTCGACCACGGCAGTAAAGTTTTAGGCTGTATTTTTGCATATATACTAATTTTTCATACTAAGGTTTATGTTAATAAGAGCAATTGTTTTCGTTAAATTTCGCCTGAATCTTTTGCCGTTTCAGATCATTCGCCGAATCGCATATTTTTGACAGCCCACATAACCGTTCATTTATCAACTCGATGTTATGATGTGCACAAGGATTCGAGCAACAAAAATAAGTTTGATTGCACGCGCCATAGATATTTTTCGAATCAACGGAGAAAGTTTTGACTGTCGCTTGCTTGCCTTCTGTCCGCGGTGAAGATCATAATTCATAGTAAAAGTTATTCATGCAGGAGCTTTAATTTTCACATGCACAAAAGAAATTTACGGAAAAGATGACAGATGAGATGATACGAAGATGAATACATCGGTGATCGTATTTTTGCAGCTATGAGTGGGTGAAAAATCCTAGAAACTGAATAAAGTAGATAACTAAAGATTTATATTTTTAAATTATAGTGTACCAAATAACACCTCACTTGATAGACTGTATAACAATAACGAATTTCATGTGAAGGTAATATTGGCAGATTGTTGAAGCAGCATTTCGGAGATTTTCTAGACCTTTAGGTCAAACCGCATGTATTTTGGTGGGAACAAATACAAAATTCTTTTCAAATTAGGATAATTACTTGCACATTTCTGAAATTTCTCTTTTTTAATTGGGGTACAGGATATGCATTGGATTGCTTCCCAGACCTAAAAATCCAATAGTTATAGCGACAGTATGTACCTACATATCTGTTTTTGTTACTGTAGTAATGCAGTGCTCGATTCGTAACAGTGAGACTGATTTTACTATCTACCACTTATGCATGAT